AAACCGTGTTTTTGAGACATAATTTGTATCATTGTATGGGCTCATGCTTTTATCTTGAGATAGCGAATAGAGGCTTTGCACCATCACATGATGGCAGCAATAACAGGAGGCACAACAATAGAGTCGCTTTCCCCTAGGAAACTGAATTCTTTCTCATGTAAATGACATTAGACCAGATTCAATTGTTCCTGCCTCTTGTCGTGGCTGTCATCACGTGACGCTGCAAAGCCTATATATGGTGCATTGTGGTCCAGCTTCAGAACAAATAAATTTTGGTCATCACGCCTTGTATGGTGTTGTTTGTACCCAAGCTAGACCAAAATGCAAGTGTTTATCGAGCTTAAAAAATAAATGACGTTATAATTCCAGTGAACTATTATAATGAAATTTAACTGAAAACTATAATCTGGATCACCTCTTACAACCTCAATCCCATCCCATCCCATCCCATCCCATCCCATTTCACCCCATCCCATTTCATCCCATCCCATCCCATTTCATCCCATCCCATTTCATCCATCCCATCTCATCTCATCTCATCCCATCTCATCCCATCCCATCCCATCCCATCCCTTCCCATCCAGAGCCTCTGCTGAGGTCAAACCACAACTATATGACCTGAAGCTTATCTAATATCCTTGGTAAAGATAACTCTGGAGGTCGAGACACATACAATACCCGTGCAGCATTTAAAATATAGAGAGTGCCAAACAAATTGATCTTCCAAGATCGAACCGCAACTCTATTTGCGTTCGATTTAGGTTGCTATAAATACGTTATTAGTACATTGTGTTCTTACGAGGTCGAACCACAGCAATTACGTAGTCAAGTCATACTGATATGAAATGAACCAAACGTTAGGTCATTTTATCCAGTGGAGGTCTAACCACAGTGTTGTAATAATGACTCATAGGCCATGAGGTAGAAAGGACTAATAGTCTGTATAGTCAAATCCAACTACCCAGACGTCAAATATTAGCAGCAAACGAGTCTTGAATTAAAGTTAAATTCAATTTTTTGGCTTTTCTGAAAGCCAGCACTTTTCGCTACTAGTAGGATATAACTTATACCCTAGCAGTAGCTCATCCAATCAGAATACAGCATCGATGATAGACCACTACAGTAGTTGGATTTGACTAAAACCAATTAGTCTTTTCGACCAATTAGATCATTACCGTGTTATAAACCCATTCCAAAAACCGTTGTCGGTCGGAGATCTGAAATCTGAAAAATAAAATGAATTGTAGGTTGTGAGCTGTGAATTGAAATATAAAGGAAAGTGATCTTTTTTTTTTTTTTTTTTTCTTTTGTCTCACACCAAGTTGATATCTAAACAAGCCACCACCTTCAAGCGATGACCTGCGCTGGCTAATTCGCCTCAGATTTCAGATTTCATATCTCCTACTTTGAAATAGGTGTAGACATATATTAGGTCAGGTCGCGCCCAAAACCGAACTGACCAAACCAAAAACCTATTCCAACGTGTAACAATGTTAAACCATGCTCACAAATATTCAGATATGCAAATTAGTACTTTTGATACCATATTTGGAATCAGGAGTTTGGTTCGAGATGGCCGCTTCTTATACGAACTTGATCGAACTTTTTTGCTGAATTTTATGACTTTCCGAGGAGATTTACTGATTCTTTCGAGTCAAACATTTCGGATGTCTGTCTGTAATTTTTTTTTGATAATTTCTAAAGCAAAAGGACATGATTTACTCTTAAAGATATTTTGTAAAGAAAAAAGTTGAATATTTCGGAGTAGTACAAAACAAACGTCTGGCTGTTGCACGTTACACGTTACACGTGTAGTTTCTAGCCAAACCTTGTCGTTATCTAGCAAATCTAAAACCTTTTGATGCGTAGTCTACATATTTGTCGGTTTGGAAATCGTAAATAACATTGGATACCAATAACATTGGATATCTAGTGAACTCGACACCGTGGGAAGGAAATGGTATGTGTCGGCGCGTCTGTAAGCTGAAAAATAGTGGTAAAGATTAGGAAGCTCTTGAGAAAACAGCCACAATGCTGGCCGTCTTCCGTGCTCCTATTATCGGAAAATCTGAAGGTTCAGCGTTCCGCTTTTGCCAGACTTCGACAAAACAAAGTTGATAAGAACATCCGTGAGAAAATAGCTAGTTTTCAAATGTAAAATAGGTAATTTTTATTAAACAATAAGAAAACTTATCGATAGATCATCTTGCATTACACTGTTTTAGTCTGTCAAGAAATTATGGGATGCCGAGAAGGCAAATAATGGAAAATTTATAGACTGCGCAGCTGTCAGCATGATGCCTTTTTATATGATTTGGGCCTTTCAAAGAAAAGCACATCTGAAAAGCAATTGAATTTGCTGATAGTTGGAACAATATGCGAAACACCAACAAGACTTCAAATTATATTGAAGTCGTAACCCCGACCACTTTATGCTTCATATTCTCTTGGCTTTATACATTTTCTACGTTTGTCCCCTCGTCATCCCATTTTTCAAGATGGCCGCCGTATCACTAAAGACGTCTATTGTGGACAAAGAGGGATAAACGCCAAAGCGGCTCAACAAGAAGCTGGCGCCTGGACCTTTACTAGTGAAGTGAATTTCGTGAAGAAGCTACCGAAAAAAATTCACCATCGCACTTAATAGCGTGCGCATGCCCAATCCTTTAGTTTATAGAGCAGTGTATATTAYCTAGAATTATATTCTTAATCTCGCCGCGCTGGCTTCCCCGTAGACGTCAATTAAGTGCCACCTCGAAAGGAATCGTCATCAAACTCACTTTAATTTTGAACTTCTTTCAGATACTTCCCAAGGAAGACAATTATTTTATCAGTAAAATTATTATCTTTTCGATCTTGGTGTTTTTACTAGCTAGTGGTATTGGAAAAATTGGATTATATTACATCCCACGAACAACCTAAAACACCAAGGGCTCCCCACACAGGAACTATAGAATCGCTATAGGGGCCCACGCGTATGACACACAAAGTGCCCACACGACGGAAACTGAGAGAGGACCCTGGAAAAAGGGACACCGTAAAACCTACTGACTTAAATAAAGTCATCAAACATTATTGGCTCAGTAGGATCTTAACAATATGATGACGAGTTATGCGCGCATAATCTGCGATTTAAGTTTTTATACGAGGATCATACGAGGATTGTCAGGGCACGCATCTATCGGTCGATTAGTGAATGGGGGTGTATGTATTGATACTCACTTGAAAGACGTTTGTAAATGAGATTTTGGCGTTAAATGAGATTGGTTGTGATACCTGTAGTTAAGGCGTAAAGCAAAAGGGGTCAATTCATTGATAAGGGACAAAAAGAGCCGTCAACAGGACGAAGTATATAGCGGGGAAGATCAACTTACACCACTACCATCTAGAGGATTTAAATTCTTAGTTGGTCGGCAACGAACTCGTGGACTTGAGCAAAAACACACGAAAACCAAAGAAGATCGTACAGAAAGGTAAGATATGATGTAAATAGACCCTGAGATGTTTTGAAAACCGATATACACTTAGTATTTCTAAAACCCTTATCGTAGAAACCGTTCTTCAATAAAGCATATAATTTCAATACAAGATATAAAGAGTACGAGAAATTATCTGAATTTGAAGTAATGTTTCAAATACGAGTTGCTGTATTCTATTGGGGTTTCGAAATCCTCGTGGACTGGAATTTCAAATGCCCCGGCGTACGACATCTTATACCCTTTTTGTTATGTTTGTTTTTATTTCAACGTTCTACTACTTTGAAATATTCCAAAGTACTAGAACTTTGAAATGGGTGCGGGTCGTATTTGTTGGGGGTTTCAAACTACTGCACGTGGTACAAATAAGAAACCCTGGTTGGTTGTTGAGCTTATGAATTATCAATGAGTATAAGATTCAATATTATTAGTGTTCCAAATATGGTTTTATCATCAGCAATCAGTCAATAAATTTATTAATGATACAGAGAGAATTCTTTTCGTATTCAAGCAGTGAGCGCCAAAAATTATTTTCTTGAAGAAAGGCTGTTATACAAGGCTAAAATCTTGTTATTCAGAAAGTTTAACTTGTTTGGAAGTGGAGATGACCGATGAAAGTGGAATCAAAGTGTTAACCCAAAGCAAACATTTTATTCGAAGATGAGGTTTAGGCCTTCATTTGCTTGTTTTCCATATATTTTCTATAAAAAAGCCTGACAATGCAACATTCTAACACAAATACAATAAAACATCTTTGTACAACTGAAAATACCACTTCAAACAGGCATTTTATCATAGTACACCAGTTTCTAACTGTTTAAAAAAGGTTTTGAGTGTTCACCCAAAACGAAAATTGGGATCAAAACTCATACGAAAGTCTAGTTTTTGGCGCTTTTTACCATTATTGCTCATTATTGAAAAAAATTTCCTCTTAATCAATAGTTATTTTTATGAGTCAATATAAGATGAAAGCTAGGTTACATACAGCTGCATGTATTTGGTCATGAGATATTTAATGGGAAAGGAGCGACCTTGGAAATAGTTTAGCGGGGAGCTGGTCAAGAAGGTTATCAGTCGTAGATTTGTTATGGTTTTTGTCCAACAATGTTTTGTTCATCGGGGTTGATGATCACGTGATCAGAGGATCATGTATTGGACAGATTGAACCCCATTTGGAGCAGATAATGAGATTCAAAGACTTTTATCGATTACCAGATCCAGATTGAATCATAGCAATATATATATATATATATACTTAAGCTAGTCTCAAAACCTTAAACAAGAAGTTCCCAAAAAAATTATATTATTTCCAAACCGAATGTATCGCCCAGCTTCGTCCGCGGAGAGCCTGGATGCGACAAATATATTCCCTTGTTGGGCATGTCACGTGACGAAATGAATAAACTTTCCTCATGGAATATAATTGCGATGGGATAAGACTGCTGATCAAAGGCTATTTCTGTAAACCTTTTTTTTTACCGTTTAGTACAACATCTGTTTTTTTATTTTATTTTGCACACTTTCAATTTTTTTCTAGCCTCTTCTTCCTTTGTTTGCTTTCCCAGTATTTTTACGAATATTCCTGCCATTTAAATAAGGACAAAATTGAACGCTAAAAGTTTCTTAACAGCCATTAAGTAAAACTATTTAAAACATAAGAAATAGACGACGTTTCGACGCGTCATTATCAAGTCAAATGTCATAAATATAGAGATCATCAATCGATCCATCGATCCATCCCTCCCTCCCTCCCTCCGTCGATCCATCTCTCCCTCCATCCCTCCATCTCTCCCTCCATCCCTCCCTCCCTCCCTCCCTCCGTCGATCCATCTCTCCCTCCATCCCACCATTCCATCCCACCGTTCATTTATTTTTTACTGAGCTAAAAATGGTTTAACCCAGAAATATTCTAGTGCATACTGATGGCCTATTTTTAACTAGTCTTGGCTGCCACTTAAATTAATCAACAATAAAAAATCAAATCTTTTTTCATATAATTTTCAATCCAAAGATAAGTTCAATTTTTCTTAAAAGCCCACAATTTCCGTCTGATAGCGATATTGGAACGGATTTTCAGCGAATAATACTGGCTGATGCTCTATCGATTAACTAATGTTTTCTATCGACATCCACTCAAACGGACAGGCATTTTAAAAGCGGCAGAGTCAGAACTTCCTCTCTCGTCCATTTAGCGTCGATTTTAATTCAGATTGGCTCTCTTGTGTTAATGACCAGCGTGAAAACCAATACGATTCGTTGATAAGCCATCACGCAACCGCAGGTGACTTGTTGTCAGTGTATGAGGTTAACGCCTAGAGCATCTCTTTAACGACTTAGAAGCAAAAACACAGCATAACAAAATGAAATGTTGCCATGAAATACGGTGAAAATTCACGAGGAATCTTGCAGAAGCACAAAATCAAAAACTAGTTAATACCTTTTTAATGGTTCTCCAAGACTCAGGTATTGAAAGATTGTTTTGTGTTTTTTTTCCCCTCCAGAGAAACCCTAGAGTAGCCTTTCCGAGGTGCTGGAAAAACTGGCCATGTTGGCAGTGCAGTGCGTGAGACTGTCTATAGAATAGATGCCATCTTAGATATAAGTCCCTTTAAGTTCAACCTTTAATCTAGCAAGTTATATCCGAATTCTCATTCCATTTTATTCTAGAATATAAACTCTTATGGTCTTTCAAATTCTAATAATATTGATTTGCAAACTGAACATTATTACTCATTCCAAAACCAAAGAAAACAGCTTGTCTTTTTAAATTACGCTAGAAACAAATTAAAGTTGTTTATCCAGATGAATATAATAAAAAGAGCGATATTTCTAATTACTTCAAGTCCCACAGTGTGTTTTAAGCGTCAAATTATCAAAAAATCTTTTTTTTTTAAGGCGCTCAAAGTTTGCTCGGTATCTCACGGCGACTAGTTCTGCTTCAAGTGAATTTAAAACCACAATTTTAGCTATATGGAATATTTTGATGATGCGTGAAACAAAAGAGCGATATTTCTAATTACTGCAAGTCCCACAGTGTGTTTTAAGCGTCAAATTATCAAAAAATCTTTTTTTTAAAGGCGCTCAAAGTTCGCTCGGTATCTCACAGCAACTAGTTGTGCTTCAAGTGAATTTAAAACCACAATTTTAGCTATATGGAATATTTTGGTGATGTGCGCAGCAAAGGCGGAGAAAAAATACTACACTACCCAATGCGAGATTGACACGAAAATCTATTCCATATTATTTGATATCGTTTTTTCCCCTTAATTATTCCTTTCCATATTATTTTTATGGAGTTGAAATGTGATTCAAAATATTGCCAGGAAAGCAAAATGTGAGTTGAACCGTAAGATATTGGACCTGATCTTGGAGTGCAAATACGCAAGACTCAAAAGATCTTGAGATTTGAGAGAAACTAACGAGGAATGCTTTGTGATCTTCAACTAACATTAGATTCGCCTATGACGTAACATGCTCTTGTAGGCAGGTAGGCAGGTAGGCAGGTAGGCAGGTAGGCAGGTAGGCAGGTAGGCAGGTAGGTAGGTAGGCAGGTAGGGAGAATAATTTAAGGAAGCAATTACAAATGAATTATTGAGTTGTTTTTCGTGTTACCTTGAACAAATAACTTCACACCTT